GATTCTTTAAGACTATTTTTATTCAAGTCTAACATGTATACAGAAAAGTGCATACTTCATAAGTGTACAGCTAATGAATTTTCAAAAGATGGATGTGTCCATGTGACCAGCACCTGGATCAATAGCTGAATATACATAGCACCCCTCCCTGCCCCAGGACACCTTGGTCCCCCTCCAGTTACCCCCTTGCCCCACCACCATCCTGACATCTCCCCCTAGAATTTCACCTGCTTTTGTGCTTTATATTCATGGAACTATTACTGGAAAGGGATCCTGATGCAGAGCCCAAGAGAGAGTTCTTAGACCTCGTGCAAGAAAGAATTCAAGGTGAGTTTATAAAGTGAAAGCCAGTTTACTAGGGAAGTAAAGAAACAGCAACAACAAAATGCAGCTGCATAGAGCAGCCAGAGCACTGTCTATATTTATGGTTATTTCTCAGTCATATGCTAAATAAGGGAAAGGAGTGGGTAGTTCGCGGAACTGAGGGTTTCTCACCTTCTTAGATCATATAGGGTAACGCCTGGCATTGCTAATGCCTTATAATTGCCCTATAATGAGCAGTGAGGATGACCAGAGGTCACTTTTGTTGCCATCTTGGTTTCGGTGAGTTTCGTCTGGCTTGTTTATTGCATCCTGTTTTATTCGTGGGGTCATTATGACCATGACTGTGTTATCTCCTGAAACCAGTCCTGTTGACCTCCTGTCTCTTTCTGTGACTAAGAGTGCCTGACCTCCTGGGAATGCAGCCCAGCAGGTCTCAGCCTCGTTTTCCCCAGCCCATACTGGAGAGATGGAGTTGCTGTGGTTCAAATGCCTCTGACACAACCACGCGTCGTGGCCTCTTTCGTGCCGACTTCTTTTGCTCATACGTGTTGCTGTTGCGTGAGGTTCTGGCTTGTTCTTTTTCCCAGCTGTTTGTGTTTACTTATTTATCCATTCTGTTGCTAATGGGTGTTTGGAGAGTTTCCAGTGGGGGCAATTATGATCGTGCCACCGGGAACATTTTGATCTGTGCCCTTTGGCGCACAGCTAAACGCATTTCTCATGGATAGATAATCAGCAGTAGAATTGCTGGGTCATAGAGAAGGTGCACATTTGGGCCTTGTCTCCGTTAAGCCAGAGTCTTCCAAAGGGGTTGTACCAGGTTTCCCTCCTGCCAGCAGAGTATGAAAGTTCTGGTTGCATTACTTCCTTGCCAACACTTGGTATTCTTTTCTTTTTTTAGTTATTTAGTTATATAATGATCCCACAATGTGCTTCAAATTTGCATTTGTTTCCCTGATGGATATGAGTTTGAGCACGCTTTCATATGCTTTCGACCGCTTAGATAACCTCTCTTATGAAATATGACTTCGGACTTTTCCATTTTTCTATGTGTTGCCTGTCTTCTTTTTATTGATTTCACAGAACTCTTTCTATGTTCTAGGTATAAATATTCCCTTGATTTATGTTACAAATGCCCTTTTTCATGCATGACTTCATTTGATCCATTAGAGGAGGAACTGGGAATTTTGAACCTCAAGATCATTGGAATCCAGGGCACGCTTTACCTGTGTGAGCCTCAGCTTCCCTGTCTCAGTCCTGTGGATGTTAGCTCACTGTCTGGTGCATAAATGGAGCTGCTTCTGGTATAGCACCTTGGTTGGGATGAGGAAGCCCTGAGTTAGAATGGGCAAAGCTGGCCTTGTGGGGCTTTCAGCCTAAGTCGTCCGTGTTTTTCAGGTCTGTATGCCAATTTCCAGGCCTTGAAAATACACAGTGAGCAAGGCCCATTTCTTACCCTTGGAGGGGACTGCACCAGGAGTGAGCACAGGAGGCTGTGGGAGACCAGCAGAAACGCTAACTGGGCTAAGGCATTGTGGAAGGCTTCCTGGAGGAGGGAGTCTCAGGGTGGAGTAAGCCTCTTCTGTTCATGTACAGGCTTGGGCACCTTTGTGCATCACGCACTGCACAGGCGCCTAGGAGATGGAATCGGCTTAGTTTCACCCCGTTCTCACCCTCCCCGCCTGTAGCCCAGTGTGCTTGATGGGGATGATTGCAGCCCCAGGGCAAAGTTGCAATGTCTGAGGACATTTTTGGTCATCAGTACTCGGTCATCTCCTGGGTAGAGGCCAGGGATGCTGCACCATCCTACAATGCACAGGGGAGCCCCACCCCACACTGCCACAGAGAATGATATGGTCCAAATGTCTATATTGCGGAGACTGCGAAACTCCCAAGAGGGACGATTACAGGGTGATGTGAGCAGAGGGATTGGGAGTGTTGTCCTGTCCTTAAGAAGTTTCTTTATTTATTTATTTAGAGCCCTGGCTAGAGTACAGTGGCGCAATCTTGGCTCACTGCAACCTCCGCCTCCTGGGTTCAAGTGATTCTCCTGCCTCAGCCTCCCGAGCAGCTGGGATTATAGGTGCCCGCCACCATACCCAGCTAATTTTTATATTTTTAATAGAGATGGGGTTTCGCCTTGTTGGCCAGGCTGGTCTTGAACTCCTGATGTCAGGTGATTCACCTGCCTTGGCCTCCCAAAGTGCTGGGATTACAAGCATGAGCCACCAAGCCTGGCCAGGAGTTTATTAACCTTTAAGCCCACCATGGGAACCATGAACCACGTGTGGCTACAGAGCCCTTGAAATGTGACTGCTGTGGCTGAGAAAATGAATTGTAAGTTTTTTTCTTTTTTTTGAGACAGAGTCTTGCTCTGTCACCCAGGCTGGAGTGCAATGGTGTGATCTCGGCTCACTGCAACCTCCACTTCCCGGGTTCAAGTGCTTCTCCTTGCCTCAGCTCCCCGAGTACCTGGAATTACAGGTGCCTGCCACCACGCCTGGCTAATTTTGTATTTTTAGTAAAGTGGGGTTTCACCATGTCGGCCAGGCTGGTCTCGAACTCCTGACCTCAGGTGATCTGCCTGCCTTGGCCTCCCAGAGTGCTGGAATTACAGGGATGAGCCACCGGGCCTGGCCAAATTTTAAGTTTTAATCTATTTAAATTTCAGAACAGATACTCAGTCCCATTCTTGGAAAACTTCTAGTTGGCCCATTTTTAATTGTGTGCAACAATTCGGGTGTGTGGATGTATTTTGTCAACTGTCAAGTTTTATGAAATCTCCATACAGATGAGCTGTTTCCACTGAGAATTTAGCCTCTGCATTGAGGTGCGCTGAAAGTAGAAGTTACACCCCAGGTTTCCAAGACTGAGTCCTTAAAAAACAAAGAATAGGCCGGGCACGGTGGTTCACGCCTGTAATCCCAGCACTTTGGGAGGCCGAGGCGGGTGGATCACGAGGTCAAGAGATCGAGGCCATCCTGGTCAACATGGTGAAACCCCGTCTCTACTAAAAATACAAAAATTAGCTGGGCATGGTGGCGCGTGCCTGTAAACCCAGCTACTCAGGAGGCTGAGGCAGGAGAATTGCCTGAACCCAGGAGGCGGAGGTTGCGGTGAGCCGAGATCGTGCCATTGCACTCCAGCCTGGGTAACAAGAGCGAAACTCCATCTCAAAACAAAAAAAAACAAAGAATATAAACTATCTCCATGACGTTTATATTAATGATAATATTTTGTATCTATTGAGTTAAACAAAATCTGTTATTAAATTAAATTTACTTCTGTAATGTAGCTACTGGAAAGCAGAATTTGAAGTATGTCTCACACTGCGTTTCTATTGGGTGGCGCTGTTAAAAACCGAAGGAAGGAGCTAGAATTGCGTGGAAGGTTTTAGGCAGGGGCTGACATCCTCTGGTCACAATGACAAGAGGGGATTCCAGAGACCAGAGCAAGTCTGGCTACAGGAGACTGCATGGCCTAGGAGACCTGAGCCACAGGCACCAAGAGAAGCTCTGATTCCCCAGAGAGGAGGTGCCCGCTGCCAGTCCACAGGTGAGCAACCAGACTGGGTCCCGAAGAGGGAGGAGCATTTAGGAGAGGCAGGCCCATCGCAAGGCTGACTGATCCTTCAAAGGGCCTCCCAGCTAAAAGCCAGCAGGAGAGAGACCTTGGCTACCAAGAGTCTGCCAGCTCCTGGTGGTCACCACTCCAGACACCTGCCAGCTCGAGCCTGACCCTCACCTCCACCCTGGCTGCTGCCTGTACTGCCCTCAGGTCTGAAACCTCATCTCCTGCTGCCTGGCTCTGCTCTGTGCTACTTACCAGCTGTGTCACCTTGAGCAAGTGGCTTTCCCTCTCCTGGCCTGTGTTGCACCTGGAGCTCAGGAAGGATCAGAGATGCCCTCGGGTGACAGGTCTTCCTGGGCAGGGTGTTTTGGGGGTGGCATTATGCAGTCTCAGTGGGGGCTGTGCAGACAGTTCTCTCTGTTTGCAGATGGCTTCCCCTCTCTGCTCTGTGTGTTATGTCCTCATTTCACTGCTGAGGAAGTGGAGGCTCAGCGAGCTGAAGCAGCTTGCCCAGGGCCACACAGCTCCACAGAGGCAGAATTCAGGTGACTAACTCTTACTTTGCAGGTCCAAGGACACCCCTCCTGTGGCTATAACTCAGTGTTCTATCAAGGGCAGACCACTGCACCTCTTTGGGCCTTAATTTCCCCATCTGTTGAATGGGGAGAACAGCAGTGCCAGTCGCAGTGACTGCTGAGGTTATAGTAAGTTGAATAAAATAACAGCACCGGCCCAAGACAAGGCTCCAGGTGGTGGCTGCTGTTTGTTGACTGATCTGTGCATAAGTATTCACCGCAGCCTTCTGCAGTGAGTGATATGAGCCCATTTTTACAGGAAGGAAACGGAGGCTAAGATGTGTAACTGGTGAGAGCAAAACTGGGGTCCCATCTGGCTTCTTGGCCCCAGAGCCCTTTCCCTTCTCAGCTTGGCCCTCCGGCATTACCTGTTATGCACGACAGGGCAAGGCTTGCTCTGTGCCCAGCCTGGTCCTCTGTCCTGCATGACTGGACATGAACGGGCACAGGGGCGGCTTTGCCAGTGGCGCTCACAGATGTCCAGGCCACTGAGCCTGCCTCCTCCCCTAAGAACTCTGCTTCTTTTGCTAGGTGAGCTGTAACCTTTCCTCCTTCCTGCTCCAAGCAGCTGCTGAGAGCCAGAGTGGTTGATCAGTAAGCTGGGACGAGACACCCAGGCTGCAGCCAGACCCTAAGTCAGAACTGGGAGAGGCCTTAGATGTCATTGGTTCCTGGTGCTGGTTGTCTAGACACCTTGTTCAGCCTCAGTCTGCACCGCTGGAAAATGGGAGGAATCATCGGCTTGGCAAAAACGGCAACCTCTGGCAACACAAAGTTGGTGCAGAAGGGGAACGTGCAGACTGCTGGCGGGAGGGTTTTTGGGGGGGCTGAAATATATAGGGCTGAGTCGGCCAGCCCCCTGTAGGTAGTTACCTAGAGCCATGCTTCTCAAATTGTGTTGTGCATGGGAATGCCTGGGGTCTGGTTAAAATGCAGGTTTAGGTCTGCGCACAATGGATCACGAGGCGGGGAGTTTGAGACCAGCCTGGCCAATATAGTGACACCCTGTCTCTATTAAAGATACAAAAATTAGCTGGGTGTAGTGGTGGGTGCCTGTAGGCCCAGCTGCTCGGGAGGCTGAGGCAGGAGAATCGCTTCTACCCAGGAGCAGAGTTTGCAGTGAGCCAAGATCGCGCCACCGCACTCCAGCCTGGGGGACAGAGCAAGACTCCGTATCAAAAAAAAAAAAAAAAGCAAGTTCAGCGCCTTCTCCGGCATAGGACTGACAGGCTTCCAGGGACCTAGTCAGGCCCTAGGGCACCTTTCATGCATGGACACAAGGAGGCATGGTCCTTTGTGATGGTATGTCATTGCAAGGAGAGGAAAGCAGCTCCCACGTCTGTCGGAAGGCCTTGGCTAACTGAATGGTGTGCTGTTCCTGCCGGGATGCTCTGGGATGATTAAGGAGAGGGAGGGAGGTCCAACAGGGTGTGGCATATGGATAAGTCTTGTCTTCTGCAAGGATGGCAGTGCCCTCTGGAGGCCGGGACTTTGTCTTGTTTACTGATTTGGCCCCGGTGCTAGAACAGGGCCTGGCAAACAGTAGGTGCTCAAGCAGTGTTTACTGGATGGTAGAACACATAGGCCAACATGGAAAGACCTCGCGTTGAGTGAACCCAGCCAGTTTCAGGAGGCTATGTAGAATCCAGGGCTTCTTAACCTTGGGACTGCTGACATTTGGGACTGGATGATTCTCTGTGCTGGGGGGCTATCTGGGCACCGTAAGATGTTTAGCAGGATCCCTGGGCTCTACCCATGAGACGACCCCTAGTTGTAGCAACCAAAACCATCTCTGGACATTACCAGTAGTTCCCTGAATGGCAAAATGGCCCCTGGTTGAGGACCACAGGTGTGATAGGACAGCACATGGATGAATGAGAGAAAGAGGAGTGTAAGATGGAGGGATGGGTGGTTGGAGGAAGGGAGAGAGAGCCTATGTCACTTCAATCTAGATTAGATTTGGCTGTATTCTCATAGTTAAAGTAAGTGTGTGGCCGGGTGCAGTGGCTCACACCTGTAATCCCAGCACTTTGGGAGACTGAGGCGGGGAGATCACTTGAGGTCAGGATTGAGACCAGCCTGGCCAACATGGTGAAACCCTGTCTCTACTAAAAATACAAAATTAGCTGGGCGTGGTGGTGCACGCCTGTAATCCCAGCTACTTGGGAAGCTGAGGCAGGAGAATCACTTGAACCCGGGAAGCGGAGGTTACAGTGCGCCGAGATCACTCCACTGCACTCCAGCCTGGGTGACAGAGTGAGACCCCATCTCAAAAAAAAAAAAGTAAAAACAAGTGTGGATGGCTCCCCTCCAAACTAATCAACAGCAGTTACCTCTTAGAAAAGTGGGACGAACATGACTGATCTTTTACTCCAAAGAGACTTATGCCTTCTCTCTGGTTTTGAATATGGCAATTGTACCTATGAGTTGAGCAGTTAAGTACATCTTAAAAGTAGAAATGGGCCAGACATGCAAGCTCACGCCTATAATCCCAGCACTTTGGGTGACTGAGGCCGGTGGATCACCTGAAGTCAAGAGTTCAAGATTAGCCTGGCCAACATGACGAAACCCTGTTTCTACTAAAAAAAAAAATACAAAAATTAGCCGGGTGTGGTGGCAGGCACCTGTAATCTCAGCTACTCGGGAGGCTGAGGTGAATCACTTGAACCTAGGAGGCGGAGGTTGCAGTGACCTGAGATCGTTCCAGTGCCTTCCAGCCTGGGTGACAGAGTGAGACTCCGTCTCAAAAATTAAAAAGTAGAAATGGTACATGGGCTGGCTTGTAGAGCTGTGAGGATTTAGTGAAATTACACACCTGGAGCGTTCAGCTTGGTGTCTGGCTCATGGTGGGGTCCCGCCGAAGGAGACCGTTGTTTCACTGTGTTGCATCTCTCCAGCAGCCCCTACGCATACAGAAGCAGATAAGACCTTCTTGCATATGGGCAGACTGGAGCTCAGAGAAGGAAAGGGACTTCCCCAAGGTCACACAGCAAAGGAGGAGTTAGACTTGCCTTTGTGACCCCAAAGTAGGAACAGTTTCTCCTCTGCCACCCGGTGGCCCCTGCCAGGCTTCTGGGCCTCCTGGTCTTTGTATCTGTGGATTGAGGCTGTTTTGACTGCTTGGTGTCCACCAGCCTGGCTGGCACCCAGGAAGCAGACAAGGCTGGAAGTGTCAGGGGGTGTAGCCTGTGGGAGTTGTGCCCTGGCTTTACCCAGCAGCTCTGGGAGGACTGCCAGGGATTTGGGGCCTGTGAGGAAGGGCCTTGGCAGAGATGTTCCCTGTAGGTGGGTACTGGACTGGCTGCCAGCCCTATGCAGCTTCAAACTCATGCTGCTTTCCCCCTGCTCAAACACCTGCCATGGCTCCCTAGTACCCAAGCCCCAATTTTCCTTCCTATGCCTGCTGGGACAGCATTGCATGTCCTGCAAAGGACTCTCCATGAGATTGCTAGATTCCAGATACTACTAACAGTACTAATAATAATAGGACTTAGAGCATCGACTGTTTGCTAGGCATGGAACTGAGTGCTTCACATGCAATATCTTATTTGATCCTTACAAAAGCCATGTGGCACTGCTGTAATAGGATTCTTATTTTGCAAATGAGGAAACTGATGCCCACGGAGGTTAAGTGTCTTGCCCAAGGTCATGTAGCTCCGAAGCCAGCATCCGCAGCCTGACTCCAGAGCCACGCTTTAACAGGAGGCCATCCTACCTAATCTTGTTAGAGCAAGCCAGCATGGTGCCAGCAGCGAAGGCCTCTGGTTGCGTGGGAAGAACCCAGCCAGGTGTTCAGGCCTGGCCATGCCATTAACTTGCTGCGTGACCTTGGCTACACTTTCCTTTCTGAGCTTGCCCAGGCTTTCTCCAAGGCCACTGCTGGCTGTGCATCCCAGAACTCAAGGAAGCAAAGTTATGCCACAAATCTAGAGATCATCTTCCCTTTTATTTCATATCACAGGATGGATATGTATGTGATGCATATACATTGATAGGATGTGCTCCTATACCTGCTCTGTCCCACTCTGTGGATTTCCGCAGAGGCTCCTAGAAGGCCCCGCTGTCCAGGCTAGGAGGTTTCTGGGGGCCCCAAGCTCCCACTCCTGGCTGAAGGTGTGAATAGAACCATGCTGTTAAGTGGGGGTTTGCAGAAACCTGGGTTTGACCTGGGAGAGCCCTAGGCAGCAGGGGATGGATGATCAAGTAATCAAGTGATCAAGATAGTATTTGAATGCACAATTTGAAAAATCAAAACTAATGGATGAACCTTGACCGAGTGTGGTAAGTGGGAAAAGCTGGTCACCAGAGCATGCTGTGTGTGATTCCATTTATATGAAATGTTCAGAATAGGTGAATTCATAGAGACGGAAAGTAGAGTAATGGTTTCCTGGGGCTGCGGGGAGAAGGGGGTTGGAGTTTGATACCTTAGAGTATGAGATTTCTCTTTGGGTGATGAAAAAGTTGGGAAATTGACTATGACTGTACTAAAACTCCATGAATGTACTACTCTGAATATACCAGAAAGCTGTGCATATACTATAAACCATTAAACTGTGATTATACTAAAAACCATTTAACTGTACACTTTATTTTTTTATTTTTTTTGAGATGGAGTCTCACTCTGTTGCCCAGGCTGGAGTGCAGTGATGCGATCTCAGCTCACTGCAACCTCTGTCTCCTGGGTTCAAGCGATTCTCCTGCCTCAGCCTCCTTAGTAGCTGGGATTACAGGCACATGCCATCATGCCTGGCTGATTTTCATATTTTTAGTAGAGTTGGGGTTTCACCATGTTGACTAGGCTGGTCACAAACTCCTGACCTTAGGCGATCCGCCTGCCTCGACCTCCCAAGGTGTTGGGATTACAGGCGTGAGCCATTGCGCCCGGCACACGAACTGTACACTTTAAATAGGTAAGTTGTATGTTATGTGAATTGCCTCTCAGTAAAGCTGTTAGAAAACAATCGTAATTAATGCAAAAATATCCATGAGAAACAACGTCTCAACATTGTAAATAATATCAGGATCAGTATTACTGATCTTTTTCTCTCTGCCAAGGTTCCAGTATGTCTTGGCACAGCACAACATCATTTGTCCTGTTTGTTTAAACATTTTACTATTTTTGTTTGTTTGTCACGGGTTTTTTCCACTAATCTAAAAAAGATTGCATTGAAACATGATTGATCTCGGTTCCTGAGTTTTTTGGCACCCCCTAGAGTTTTTGTGCTCAAGGACGATGACTCACTTGCCTCACCCTGTCCTCGCCCTGCCAGGCAAGCCTTTGGCTCTCCCTTGGGTGTCCAGGGTCTCCCCCACCACTCTGTCCCTTCCTTCTCTCTGTCTCCTCGTCTGACAGGTGAGACCAGCAAGCCCACCCTGAGAGAAGCTGTGAGTTGTTTGTCCAGCCAGTGAGTCATGTGTGAGGACCAGAGTAGAGGGCTCTCTCCTCGTCACCTGCTCCTCCTGCCCACATTGTCTTCTTTGCTGGTTTCTCCCTTCTCTCCTCCCATCTCTCTCTTTTTAAAAATTTTTTTTTTGAGGCCAGGCCTGGTGGCTTATGCCTGTAATCCCAGCACTTTGGGAGGCCAAGGCAGGCAGATCACTTGAGGTCAAGAGTTGGAGACCAGCTTGGCCAACATGATGAAACCCCATCTCTACTAAAAATACAAGTGCCTCTGCCTCCTGGGCAGCTGCTCAGGAGGCTGAGGCAGGAGAATCAATTGAACCTGGAAGATGGAGGTTGCAGTGAGCTGCTCCACTGCACTCCAGCCTTGGTG